TGTTCCAGAAGTCAACAGTTAGGGTTGAGTTTTCCTTTCATCCTGTCAACGGCCCTTCCATCTTCAGAGGAATCAGAACAGAAGCAGGAGACCAACTTCTTTGAAAAGTAAAGGCCTAAATGCTAGAGCCAGAGATCAAGATATGAGGGTAAGTCTTGCAGATGAAGGACTTCTTAGAATGCCAAATGAGGGTGAACTTTTTTTTTTTTTTAAAGCAAATTTGCCTGTGAATGGTAGAGAGAAATAATAGTGAGTGGGGAGTATAAGAAGTCACAAAGGGATGAGCTCTCTGTTGGGAATGTGCATGTATGTAGCAAGGATGTTGTCTGTGCAATTTGCTACTCTGTACCTGTTTTCAGAATCTGACATGTTTGGAGGGAAGTGGTAGATGATTGCCTGGCTGAACAGGTATGTGTCTATATCAACACAGAATTAGAAAATCTGACTTTATAGCTCTCCATCTAGCACTGTTAAACCATATGCCTGAATTCATCTCCAGTACTAGGCTCATCTCCATGATGACTGTCACGATATAACATTAAATAAAGCATGGACTATTATTCTCTGAGTCCTTAGCCATATGAAAACCTGCTTTATTGAATAAACAAGCACGTAAACAAAAACCCCAAGGATTTCAGGGTCAGTCAGCTCGGCGTTGAACTCCTGATCAACATTCACAAGCTATAAGGCTGCAGCAAGTTACAGAACCTCACTTCTCTTACTCTGCAAAAGAGGAGTATTATCCAGTTTTTCCAGTTAGTAAAGATCAGTCCCTGAAAGGACATAATCTTCCATACATGTCTGGGCTACCCAAAGTAGGACAGGGAGGACAATGGTGCCCCTTTATTGAGGACCTACTATGAGCTCCCCAGTAACGGCACTGTTTAAAGAGCCTTGTGTTTTGAACACACCTTGCCAATTCTGCTTCCATTTGAAGAATCCTGGCCACAGGATTCTATTACAGAGCAGTAAGCCCTGTGTCCCAGATGCTGAGTCAAGATATTGCAGGGTCCAACATGGGTTTGTAAATTTAGGACTCTTTGCTTGAAATCATTATTGTCCCTTCTAGCAAATGAGAATAAAATGAGAGAGCATATAAATAGAATGTTCTATTTGGGAAAAAATAGAAACTGGAAAAATAAAACAATTTGAAGATTATGAATTTTAAATTAAAAACAGTGAATAAGATGCTTAGACAGCTATCTGTATAATGATGCCTGTTGGGAAACACACATTAGAAAGATTTCTGTGTACCTGGAATCCATCACATCAATCATTATGGTTTTTGTGCCATTTGGAAATCAGAGCCAATCATTTTAAGGGCTAAAGGCTTCTATCTCCCCTTTACACTGCTTTGAATAATATTGACATTAGAACTGTGGTCATTTAGTCCCAACTTTTCCTTTAACATGTCAAAAAATTAAAGCGAAGGGCAATGCTGTGATGCTGATATCAAACCTCGGACCAAAGGCAGTTAAGCCAGGTGGGGTCCAGATCCCTGACTTCTACTTTATTTTCCTCCCCCTACCCTGATAACTGTTGATGTAAATGCTGGTCCACCTGAGCCATAGGCAGGAGGAGAATGGACATGGCGAGCAGCCTGTGAGATTCACTCCAGGTGAGAGTTCAGTGGTCAGCAAAGTGAAAGGTTGTTTTACCAGGAGCAGAGCACCTGGAAAGGAAAGAACATGCCGAGAGTGGGGAACAGCAAGCCTGGGGTGTCTGTCACCCTATTTCTAGCAGTGCACATTTTCCAAGCTGGAAGGAGACCCAGAGTGAAGTCTGGCTTGCAACCAGCAGAAGAGTGGATCCTGAAATTGTGGAGTGTAGACTCAGTAGAGTACCACATGGCAGTGAAATGAAATGAGACTTTGGGGACAAAATAAGTTCAAAGTGATTATGTTACGTGAAATAAGTGAAAGAAGTGACAGATAACTGATGGTTTCACTCATGTGGAGAATAAATAACAAAAAGAAATACACAGAAAAATAAGCAGGTATAAATGTGGACTCACTGAATGAATTTAATCATTAGGGGAGGAGTGGAGGAGGAGGAGGTACAGAGGTTACAGGGGTTTGTTGAGGTGAGTGGAACATGTATTAATATAAAGGAACAAAATGTACAGATTAAGAATAAATTAAGATAAAAACAGATCTGAAAGTGTTAGTGTTTAAGAGGAAAATCAGCTTGGTCCTCGGAGTCCAACCAGAATTAGACAAATAGCTGAAAAGCAGGGTTTTGGGAACCGGACCCCACAGAGCACAGCTCAGGAGTGCCAGGCCATAAGGGTCAGACCGTAGGGTGCCCTGTTTCTCCTTCCCCTGCTGGCATCCACACCCGGGTTTCCTTTGTTTCTATGTATTAGTGTCCTCCAGTACATTTTATGTTTCTAAACATCTGGCAGCTTCCCTCCTCCAGGCCAACCACAGCGCAGGGGAGCGCTTTGTGCTGCTGGGCTTCCTGGACTGGCCTTTGCTGCAGCCCATCCTCTTAGCCTTCGTGCTTTTCTGCTACCTCCTGACGCTCGCAGGCAACGCTGCGCTGGTGCTGCTGGCTGTGCGCGACCCGCGCCTGCACACGCCCATGTACTACTTCCTGTGCCACCTGGCCCTG